CGCTTGCAGCCCACCATTGGAGACGTGCCGGGCGAGGCGCTCGGCGATGGCGATGGCGGCGGCGGCGGCGAGGCGCTGGGCGGCGGCGGCGGCGGCGGCGGCGGCGGCGGCGGCGGCGGCGGCGGCGGCGATGGTGGTGGCGGCAAAGTGCGCTCCACCACCGGCACTGCCGCGCTGCCTGCGGCGGTGGCTGCTGCGCTGTGGCCGCCGCCGCCGGGCGGCTTTGGGTGCGGCGGGTCGGGGCTTGCGGGAAGGATCTGCTCTTGGACGCGCGATGTCTTGGACCAGGTGCCGCTGACGAGGTAGGCGGAGCAGGCCAGCGTCGCCGTGACCCACAGGACGGCGAGTGGCAAGGCGACAGCGACCTTCATAAGCGGCGGCTGGAAGAGTTTGCTGTCCAGCGCGCCTGCAGGCGTCGTCCAAAAGAAAACAAAGCAGAATACTGTCCCGTTTTGCTGTTCACAGCTAGGGACGGCCTCTGCGGCAAAGTCAAATCACCCCCACCACCCTACCACCTCCCACCACGGCAAACCTTCGGCTCCCGCTCAGAGGCTCGCCGCGCCCGTGCGGCGCGCCGAGGCGGCGCCGAGGCCGGCGCCTTGCACCCGGCCCGCGGCCGGCACCGCCTCGCCCCACAACTGACCGCCCTGCGGCCCCTGCGCAGGCGTACCACAGGCGTCGCTCAAAAAGCGACGCCGGGTGTGGGCTGCTCCCTTGACCCGTCACGGGTGCGGCGCGCCGAGGCGGCGCCGAGGCCGGCGCCTTGCACCCGGCCCGCGGCCGGCACCGCCTCGCCCCACAACTGACCGCCCTGCGGCCCCTGCGCAGGCGTGCCACAGGCGTCGCTCAAAAAGCGACGCCGGGTGTGGGCTGCTCCCTTGACCCGTCACCCGCCGCGCCCTCGCCCGGCCGCCTCACCGCTCACGGAGCGCTCGGCGGCTCGCCGCCGCCGCCGCGCTTCCCGCGCCGCCACGCATGCCCCTTGCCCTGACGCGCGCTCTGCAGCGGCGCAGAGCGCGCT